GGGGGGTCACCAAATGAAATTAATAGGCAGCAGGTTTAAAACAAACTAAAGGAAGTATTTCTTCACACAATGCACAGTCAACCTGTAGAACTGTTTGCCAGAGGATGTTGTGAGGGCAAAGACTATAACAGAGTTCAAAAAATAACTAGATAAATTAATGGAGGATAGGTCCATCAATGGCTATTAGGGCAGGGAGGGTGTCCCTAGCCTGTTTTCCCAAAGCTGGGAATGGGCAATGGGATGGATCACTTGATGATTACCTGTTCTGTTCATTCCCTCTGGAGCACCTGGCATTGGCCACTGTCGGAAGACAGGATACTGGGCTAGATGGACCCCCCGTTCCGTCTCCTCCACCTAGCACGCCCTGCCTGTGCTCCTCCCACTTGCTGGTGATCAGCAGGCACCGGGGGAGAGGGAGGAGGTGATTGGCAGGGCTGCTGTTGGGTGCTGAGCACCCACTATTTTTTTTCCAGGGGTCTCCAGCCCTGGAGCACCCACAGAGTGGGCGCCTGTGGGTCTGATCCCGTAGGGCTGGTTTTATTTAATTTACATGTTTAGATCTTTGCATAGATTGTCATTATTCAAACCTATTTAACTTAAATACTAAAATGGGCTGAAAGTGGAGGGGCTGGTAGGCAACTTGCATGATACGCTTTGAAATGGCTGAGAGTTGGGGCTTTAGCGAGCCTGGGAACAGTGTACCACCTGCATCCCCTGACCCACAACCTGGGCTGACTGTGCAGCAGGGCCCTTGTAATGGGATTTCTTTTGTCCTCCAGGTTTCGGCCGGTTCCCGATGGTTGGGAACATTTACAAAGTGTCCAGCATGAGCAGTGATGAGATCTGGCTGTGAATGTGTAGGCAGGACACTCCTGTGGGGGTCCAGGGTCTCCCTCAGTCTCCTGGGATGAGTCCACTGATCCATCAGCACTGCAGACCCATCCAGGAGCTGCTGTTCTCCCCAGGATCCCAGACTACAGCAGCCAGCTCAGAACAAGCTCTCCGTGTAACCACCACCAGAACTCCAGGTGAGAAAGTTCCTGTGACGGCAGGTCTTCCACGCCATCCTACCCCAAGGATCTCTGGGCTCTTCTGCTCTTGCACTTGAGTAGGTTAGCTAGTCTCACCTAAAACAGCATGGAGTCTGATTTTTAAGAACTCTCCAGTGTGCTGTAGGGCAGGTGGAGCACCAAGAGTGGGAATGGCCTGTTCGCCTGTCCAGGAGCAAGAGAAATTCATACATGTAACAGCCATGGTCATTTCATGTCCACTCAGTCATGGGAGCACCCAGCTATGTCCATCTCTGAATGGATCAGGGCTGCGTTCTGGAGCTCCTGCGAGGAGTCTGAAACTGCTGGGAGTGGAAGAGGGTGAGGTAATGTCAGCATCTTAGGGAAGCATGTGAGGAGGGGGGATTGGCAGGAAGCCTGGCTTGCCCAAACTCCAATCTCAATCAGTCAGACATTCCCTCTCAGGCCTGGCCAAGTACATAAGCCCAGTGGCTCCTGATGTGCTGCTTGGGGTGGTAGGAAACCCAGAAGATCAGGCTCTAGGTGTTCCAAGCTAGGCTTCAAAAATTAGGGACCACTTTGGAAAACATGGCCTGTCCTGTGTGTGTTGAGGATCATATCATACAGTGGGAGATGGAACAGACTTGTTTCCCCATGGGGCTGGGAGGGGAGAAGCACTCCAGGAGCCGTATAGTGCTGAAACCCAAAACAGCAAGCACTGAGGCCATTATTAGTGAGCTGCTCTAGTTCTGTGTACTCACCCTGCTAGGGAAAAGTAAACCTCACCAGTTTGGGATGAGGGAACACCAAAAGAGTGCGAGTACCCCCTGGTGCTTCTCAGCCTCCAGTTAACTCCAGCCCTACCTTGGGAGAGCAGTGCTGGGCTGCTTCTGGTTATCCCATAATCAACCTCTTTGTGAGAAAGAATATGGGGTAGTTTCTGCTTGGAGCCCACAGCTGTCTCCTGGAGAAGAACTAGAGTAATAAAGGGAAGTTCATAATCTTTGAAAAGAACATTTAGGAGAGATGTATCCCTGCTCTGTCCTCAGTTACACTCATGCAATTCCCCTGCGGACAAGGGATAGGTATGGGTGTGCCTGAGGGTAGTTATCACTCTAATTCTTCACCCCTCTGAACCTAGACACTGCAGCGCACACAGGACATTTCTATGTGAAAAACCACTGCAGACCCTAACCATCCATTGCAATAACTGCTGTGCAATTCCTCCAGGCCAGAGTTGCTGCAGCACCTGGGCATTAGGACGGCTTTGAGGTTTTTTAGCCTTTGCTTAGTTAGTGTCTTGCTTATGATCTGTGTGTCTTGCTAGGGCAACTATCTCTCTCCATCAATGTGCATCTGGAAAGAGCAATTCTTTCCTGGGAGACTCCCATTTGTGATCCTTCTCTCATGCCAAGATGACCGAATAAGCACAAATAGAGGTGCTGGTAGAAATAAATACATCTAGCCATGCAGGCTGTCCAGCCTCTGAGTAATATATTAAGCTATGCATCAAATTATCTAGCAGGTGTTAGCTCAGTTAGTTGTTTTAAGATGCTGCATTGTTAGCTGAGGCATGTTTTTATGTAACTTAGGCACTTAAGAATAAAATGCTATAATCAAAGTGTAATGCAGAGCTCTTTCTACATTGAGTTGAATGCTGCTATGTCTCTGGCAGGAGTTGATGGGATGGAGGGACTTACTTACCGTGTTGTAGCTGCTTTAATGAGGGAGCCTTAGGTGGTCCTCACCCCAAGGATCTCTTTCAGAGCACTGACTCAACAGTGTCTGGAAATTTCTTCCAACAGCAATAAACCAAATAATTGTCTGTAGTGGTGGCTGGTTATTTCTGGTGATCTGTCTTCTCTCCCAAGTGCAGGACAATACTGGGCCAAATTCTGCTGGACGTTATGAGTGTAAACCAGGAGTAACTGTGGGATTTACACTACGCTGAGATGGCTCAGAGCTAGTGCCCTCATCTCTACCTGGAGGCTGAAAAAGGGGACATTTCATGCGTTAACTGATACTACCTACAGGAAACAAGGGGGAAAGCAGACCACACTCTGCCTTGAGCTGAAGGCAGCACCACCCTCTTCCCTCCTGTCACTCCCCTTAGTTTTCTCCCTGGAGTGGCTGCTAATGGGCTCCTCATACAGAGCAAAGGTCCATCCATAGCACCACTTTCTCCCCTTCGATTGCTTCCACTGACCACTCTTCCCTCTTGCAGCACAGGTTCACACAAGCACATGAAGTGTGGCGAATACATCACTTTATTAGAAATGCCTATGCCCATCTCCAGCTGAATGACATGGTTGTGTTTCTCAGCGCTGTTCATCTCTCCAATTAGTGGCTGAATCTTGTACTCATCTTGAAATGGAAACAGCTGCAGAGAAGCAAATCAAAGCCCATTCCTGCAGGGAAGTCCTGGCTCCCTAGCAATGCAGGGTGAGTCTCTGGGCTAAATTCTTTTAAATATTTGCTTGGGGGAAAGAGTCAAGCTCCTGGTCTTTAGCCCCAACGCTGAAGCCTAGCAGTCTGGGGAATGGCTATAAAAGGAGTCTCGAAGGAAGGTTTGAAAGCTAGAATCCTCTGGTAATTGGCAGTGCCTTAGTCAGCGGGCGGGGCTACCAAGCAGGCCAGGGCTTTATAAAGCAGTGCACAAGCGACCCGAGGAGCATTTACAAGGGAGTTTAAGGGGGAGGCTGAGGGGCAGGGGCCCCTCGCTCCTTCCTTCAAAGCAATAAGCTATACTACAGTCACAACTTCTTCATTTAAACAACACCCTTTCATTAACTAGGAGACCATGCAGGCAGAAGCCCAGCAGCACAGTGGGGGCTATCCAGTGTATTGTGCTGAGTGCAGCATGTATGTGCAGGGAGCTCCTGGCCCTCACAGACTGCGTATGGGCTTTGGAGGCCAGGGTGGCAGAACTGGAGGAGCTAAGGGAGGCAGAGAGGTATGTTGCAGAGGCTTTCTGGGACACTGTAGATTGGTCCCACCTCCAGTCAGACAGCCCCTGCACTGGTGACAAGGCTGAAAGGCCCAGGGAAGCAGAGCAGTCAACAGGCGCAGAGGGAAACCTTCCCATAGCTGGGGTATCCTCTCACACTGAAGTTACCTCTCCTGGGGAGGGAACTCCAGTCATTAGGAAAAGACAGGTGTTTGTTAGTAATGGGAGAGTCAATCTTTAGAAACAGATAGCTGGGTTTGTGATGACCAGGAGAACCGTTTGGTGACTTGCCTGCCTGATGCAAAAGTGGCAGATCTCTCGAGGCACCTGGATAGACTTACATGTAGTGCTGGGGTGGAGCCAGTGATCGTGGTACATGTAGGCATCAGTGACATGGGGAAGGGTAGGAGAGATGTCCTGGAAGGCCAAATTTAGGCTGCTAGGGAAGAGACTGAAATCCAGGACCCCTATGATAGCATTCTCAGAAATGCTCCCAGTTCCACACGCAGGGCCAGGTAGGCAGGCAGAGCTTCAGAGTCTCACTGCGTGGATGAGACAATGGTGTAGAGAGGAGAGGTTTAGACTCATTAGGAATTGGGGAAACTTTGGGGATGGGGGAGCCTATACAGGAAGGATGGGCTCCACCTAAACCAAAGTGGAACCAGACTGCTGGCACTTAACATTACAAAGGTTGCAGAGCAGTTGTTAAACTAGGAGATGGGGAAAGCCAACCGCTGCAGAGGAGCATGTGGATCAGACAGAGACTTCTCTTAGAGGACAGTCTATTGATAGAGATTCTCTAGGTTATAGTCAGGAGCAGAGGATGGAGGAGGATAATGTAAGGGCCAGATCAGACAAGAAACATTCACCTAAAAAAGAATCTGACACATCAGGAAAGGGCAGACAAATAAACAGTGACAAGTTTTTAAAGTGCTTGTACACGAATGCTAGAAGTCTAAATAATAAGATGGGTGAACTAGAGTGCCTTGTGATAAAGGAGGATATTGATATAATAGGCATCACAGAAACCTGGTGGACTGGAGGACAAGTCAATGGGACACATTTTGGGGTACAAAAGATATCAGAAGGACAGAACAGGTCGTGCGGGGGGGGGGGGGGAAGAGAGTGGCACTATATGTGAAAGAAAATGTAGAATCAAATGAAGTACAAATCTTAAGTGAATCCACATGTTCCATAGAATCTCTATGGATAGTAATTCCATGCTCTAATAAGAATATAACATTAGGGATCTATTATTGACCACCTGACCAGGACAGTGATAGTGATGATGAAATGCTAAGGGAGATTAGAGAGGCTATCAAAATTAAGAGCTCTATAATAAGTGGGGGATTTCAATTATCCCCATATTGACTGGGAACATATCACCTCAGGACAAAATTTCTCGATACTTTAAATGACTGCTTCATGGAGCAGCTGGTACGGGAACCCACAAGGAGAGAGGCAACTCTCAATTTAGTCCTGAGTGGAGCGCAGGAGCTGGTCCAAGAGGTAACTATAACAGGACCGCATGGAAATAGTGACCATAATATAATAACCTTTAACATCTCTGTGGTGGGAAGAACATCTCAACAGCCCAACACTGACATTTAATTTCAAAAAGGGGAACTATGCAAAAATGAGGGGGTTAGTTAAACAGAAATTAAAAGGTACAGTGACTAAAGTGAAATCCCTGCAAGCTGCATGGATGTTTTTTAAAGACACCATAATAGAGGCCCAACTTCAATGTATACCCCAAATTAAGAAACACGGTAAAAGAACTAAAAAAGAGCCACTGTGGCTTAAAAACCATGTAAAAGAAGCAGTGAGAGATAAAAAGACTTCCTTTAAAAAGTGTAAGTCAAATCCTAGTGAGGTAAATAGAAATGAGCATAGACACTGTCAAATTAAGTGCAAGAATGTAATAAGAAAAGTCAAAGAGGAGTTTGAAGAACGGCTAGCCAAAAACTCCAAAGGTAATAACAAAATGTTTTTTAAGTACATGAGAAGCAGGAAGCCTGCTAAACAACCAGTGGGACCCCTTGATGACCGAGATACAAAAGGAGCGCTTAAAGACGATAACATCATTGCAAAGAAACTAAATGGATTCTTTGCTTCAGTCTTCACGGCTGAGGATGTTAGGGAGATTCCCAAACCTGAGCCGGCTTTTGTAGGTGACAAATCTGAGGAACTGTCACAGATTGAAGTGTCACTAGAGGAGGTTTTGGAATTAATTGAATTTAACATTAACAAGTCGCCGGGACCAGATGGCATTCACCCAAGAGTTCTGAAAGAACTCAAATGTGCAGTTGCAGAACTATTAACTAGGGTTTGTAACCTATCCTTTAAATCGGCTTCTGTACCCAATGACTGGAAGTTAGCTAATGTAACGCCAATATTTAAAAAGGGCTCTAGAGGTGATCCCGGCAATAACAGACCAGTAAGTCTAATGTCGGTACAGGGCAAATTAGTCAAAACAATAGTAAAGAATAAAATTGTCAAACACATAGAAGAACATAAATTGTTGGGCAAAAGTCAACATGGTTTCTGTAAAGGGAAATTGTGTCTTACTAATCTATTAGAGTTCTTTGAAGGGGTCAACAAACATGTGGACAAGGGGGATTCAGTGGACATAGTGTACTTAGATTGCCAGAAAGCCTTTGACAAGGTCCCTCACAAAAGGCTCTTACGTAAATGAGTTGTCATGGGATAAAAGGGAAGGTCCTTTCGTGGATTGAGAGCTGGTTAAAAGATCGGGAACAAAGGGTAGGAATTAATGGTAAATTCTCAGAATGGAGAGGGGTAACTAGTGGTGTTCCCCAAGGGTCAGTCCTAGGATTGATCCTATTCAACTTACTCATAAATGATCTGGAGAAAGGGGTAAACAGTGAGGTGGCAAAGTTTGCAGATGATACTAAACTGCTCAAGATAGTTAAGACCAAAGCAGACTGTGAAGAACTTCAAAAAGATCTCACAAAACTAAGTGATTAGGCAACAAAATGGCAAATGAAATTTAATGTGGATAAATGTAAAGTAATGCACATTGGAAAAAATAACCCCAAGTATACATACAATATGATGGGGGCTGATTTAGTTACAACGAATCAGGAAAAAGATCTTGGAGTCATTGTGGATAGTTCTCTGAAGATGTCTGCGCAGTGTGCAGAGGCGGTCAAAAAAGCAAACAGGATGTTGGGAATCATTAAAAAGGGGATAGAGAATAAGAAGGAGAATATATTATTGCCCTTATATAAATCGATGGTACACCCACATCTTGAATACTGCGTACAGATGTGGTCTCCTCATCTCAAAAAAGATATACTGGCACTAGAAAAGGTTCAGAGGGCAACTAAAAAGATTAGGGGTTTGGAACGGGTCCCATATGAGGAGAGATAAAAGAGGCTAGGACTTTTCAGCTTGGAAAAGAGGAGACTAAGGGGGGATACGATAGAGGTATATAAAATTATGAGTGATGTGGAGAAAGTAGATAAGGAAAAGTTCTTGTATTATGGGAATAAGTAAATAACTAGGGGTCACCAAATGAAATTAATAGCAGCAGGTTTAAAACAAATAAAAGGAAGTTCTTCTTCATGCAGCGCACAGTCAACTTGTGGAACTCCTTGCCTGAGGAAGTTGTGAAGGCTAGGACTATAACAGCGTTTAAAAGAGAAATAACTCCACCAGAGAGGTCCTTTGGGGCCATCTGCCTGTCCCAAGTCAGGATAAAGGAGGAGGGTTGGGCGTGGGGCTAACAACTCCACCCCGTAAAAAATCAACCTGCTATAGA